TGCAGCCATCTCTTGTACTGTATTGAGAGAAATGTGGAGTTGCCATTGATGGGCTCCTTCTAAAAATACTACTTACTTGGCTTCCTCTGGCTTGCAAGGCACTGATCTTGAGCTAGCATGTAAATAAGAAAGTGAGAGTAAAGTGAAATTTCCTAATTTGCATACTTGTTTCAGGTAAGTGCCTCGGATATCTGTCAGGTCATTGGATCAGTATGACACCCGGACAGCTGGTATTTCCAAAGCAGAGTTTGCTAGTAGCAGATTATCTGCCTGCTATTTAGTTTTTATATAGCCATGTAGTTATCTTCAGTTTACAGAAATCCTCACATTCATTTTTATTTTCCTTAATAACAAGCACAGAGAATGAAAAGAAATAAGATACCACAGAAGTGTTCTGTTTGACGCTGCCAAACTCCATTGCCCCCTAATGATTATGCAGTGTCCTAATCTGCAACCATTTACTGAACACTACACAAAGTCTGTAGTCACATACGGTACATGGCCTTCACCTGAACCTGAAGTCATGCTGTGCTAGATAAGCGGGTGAATGGGAGCTTGCAAGAATATAAGAAAGATCGTTCATGTGAATGTAAGCCTATTTGAGACATGCCTCAATCCAGAAATCAATGTTTGCATCCTCATATGGATGACTTGTTTCACTCTCTTACACCCAATGGTCCTAAAAGCAGTACAAATCAAGCCATGATTGAAGAAATATAATCCGTTATTAAATTTTTTATGATTGAAATGTATTTTGAGTCAGAGGATAAATTCGAGAGGATCAAACCTTTTCCTTGGAGTATAACAATTCCTTGTCCAGCCACATTTTATTCCTGGCAGCGGAGGTCATTGCTGTGCATCTTTAACACAATTCTGTATAGATGTACATATATCAATAATATGAATACATGCATTATGCTGAAAGCTCTACTGTAGAAACTGAATAGGATGAAGAATATTCACAAAATATTCAGGCTTTTTCAAAGCACAATAAATAAGAGCTGTCATAGTGCATAAACCAGAAATCAGATTCACATTTTTGACTCTCCTGTAATCCCAGACGGAGAGGGTAGGTCGTGGTCAGCACTACAGCACTCACACTTTGACAGTGGAAGAATCCGGTGGTTTTGGGAAACACAGACTGTTGTATTTAGCACATGCTGATAAATAAGGCTAACATTTAGTTTGCTGCAGTAAGGACCCTGAAAGATTATTTCTGAATAGATTAATATTACTAAAACAATATTAATCTATTTTTCTGCTAGTGTTATTTATCAGTTCTATTTTTTGTAACATACTGCTTTCCTGTTGCTGGCTACAGCTACCCAGCAACAGAATCGATAAGGAGGGAATTCTTATTCACTATATCGGAGCACCTTTGCTAAGTGTAACACTGCAAAAGGGGAGCAGTGATAGAGTAACTGACTGCTGGTTCAGTCAGTGAGGGAGCGACAAGGTCAGTGCACTCTTAGCGACCCAGTCACTGTACCATGTGCGATATTAGCTAGATGGATGGAACGTTCAACATTATTTTTATTATAATTATACAGGATTTATATACTGTTTGCACAGCACTTTACCAAATGGAGGGGACAGTACAGTTACAATTTGAATACAGGAGTGTTAAGGTGGCCATACACCTTACAGCAATCGTTCAATTTTCTTGGTCCCAACATCGCACCCTCATTCAATCTCCGTTCAAATAGCCCATCATGCACACACCAATGTAGATTTCGATAATCGTTCGTCAGCAATACTAACTGGCCGAATTTCATCAGATTTTTGTTTGCGCACAAGCAGTGTTCATGTTGCGATTTTTGTTGTACGAAATTCCACTAATCCATTGATTTTCGTCCGTTTCGACTATAGTTTTCTAACCTGCCCTTTCCACCAAATTTGGCCAGTTGCACAATAATTGCGATAGTGCCATCAACTGGCTGAATATCGTATGAAAACGTGATCATGGACGATTATTGAACGATAATTGTAAGGTGTATGGGCACCTTTAGGAGGGCCCTGCTCGTGACAGCTTACAATCTAGTAGGAGGGCAAGTGACACAAAAGGTAATAATTGTGTGGTATGATTTAATGGAAGAAGTGAAAGGACAGTTATGTCAAGGTGGAATAGGCTGCCCTGAAGAGATGAGTTTTCAAGTATCACCTTGGTGGACAGAGTAGGAGATAGGAGAGATTGGTGGTAGGGAGTTCCAGTGGATGGGAGACACTCTGGAGAAGTCTTGGAGGCGAGCATGGGAGAAGGTGACTGGAGAGCAGCAGATCTTGAGAAGAGCAGAGAGGATGGTTTGGGTGATATTTTAAATGAGGCTTGTGATGTAGCTGTGGGAAGAGTTGTAGATGGCTTTTTTATGTTGTTGTTAGTATTGTACAATGTATTATTTGGGCAAGTGGGAGCCAGTGGAGGGATTGGCAAAGGGGGGCAGTGGACACTGATGGATGGTAAGGTGGATGAGTCTGACAGCAGCATTCATGATAGATAAAACCACTTGCTACATGCTTGTTTTGGGTGGGTGAAGCTGGCTATACGCCTATAGATTTCCTGCAGATTATCTGTGGTCAGATGTAAAAAGTGCAACAGATTCCTCCATCTACACTAAACTGTGTGGATGGAGAAATTTCCCACTGGGCCAAGCTTCGGTATCTTGCTAGTAAGCCCCGCTCGCTCTCAAAACACCTGAACAATGCCTGCATCCAATCAGATTGTTCAGGTATTTTGACAACCAGCAGGATCGACTAGCAAGATACTAAAGCTTGGCCCAGCGGGAGATTCCTTCTTCCACGCAGTTTAGCGTAGATAGATGGAAAAAGTGCAACAGATTCCTCCAACTATAGAAACTCTGCAGAAAATCTATAGGTGTATGGCCAGCTTAAGACTATGTTATCTACATATCCAGGGATTTCCCCTGACTTTCTTTCCTGGGGACATTTTACCAGACAGGAAGTGAGGAAAAATATGCAACAGGAAAACAAAGCAAAAAAGCTGACCGATGTTTTAGCCTTTCATTTCTGTCTGGTTTGCTGTTGGAGTTTCACTTACCTCTGGTGAAAAACCTTGTCTTTGGGACAATCAGTAAGAGGAGATCTTTGTAACAGATCTCAAGGCAGCAGTAAAAGTTGAAAGGATTTCTAAGCCTTCCCTGCTCTATCCAAAACAAAAAACAATGTTTCGGCTATAGATTCACTTTAATAATTATTTTGCATGGTATAAATCAACCAACCCTAACAAAGTAGATCTTTGTAACAGATCTCAAGGCAGCAGTAAAAAGTTGAAAGGATTTCTAAGCCTTCCCTGCTCTATCCAAAACAAAAAACAATGTTTCGGCTATAGATTCACTTTAATAATTATTTTGCATGGTATAAATCAACCAACCCTAACAAAGTTTCAAAATATGATCTCCGTGAACCAGGAACCCAACGTCGGAATACCACCTGATACCCAATATGGATTAACGGATTCTTCTCATTCTATTAAAATTGGAGTCAGTCTGTTTTACGCTTGTTTGTTTCATGTTTTGTTTCTCTAGCATATCTCTAAAAATTATAGCTATGGTAAAAAAAGTGGACTGTGGAAAAGGTAGACATGTAGATTTTTTAATAATTTAGGTCATTTTTTGCCAATGTATTTTGCATAGCCAGTGCTGTTGATCGGTTCTGTATATCAGATGTTAGTATAATATACAGAAAAAGGTCTAGAAAGATTGATCCAGCTAATAAGCTTAATTAAGTTCTCATTGTCTTTGTTTGTTGCAGCCATTTAGGTTTATTCCTCTCCAAGTCAAGCCCTACTGCTATCCTTTTAAACTTATGGGAGGCTCAGAACTTCCCCAATGGGAACCTAGCACGACTGGCAGCTGCAGTGGCAGAGATTGGCAAACAAGACTCTCTCATGTACATGATGTCTGAAGCAGAGTGCTGAAGAAGTTCCAGTTACCTGCTAATTTCCAGCAAGTCCTGTGTCCAGGATCGGCCAAAGGACTCAACCTCCCTATATCAGGTCTGTGGATGTCACTCTTTTAAATGCCCTCTCCCTGGCATACGAGGGGATGGAAGGCTAAAAACACAACTTTCTGTGCTTTAGCACTTCTCTGCCAGTGAAAGTTTGAGACTTTTAGCTCCTTTATGCAGAGCAGGATTTTCAGTGATGGAGCAAGATGCCACTTTCATCTGCAGCTAAACACACGTCATGGTAATGCTGTTCTCATATAATACACAACAATCATATGGTAAGACTTAACCAAGAAGTTGCCACATTCCAGACAAATACAAAAAGAAGAGGCATTGTGTTCAAAGTTGTTTCATTTTGTGGACCATCTCATAAACACCAACACATCCTGCTATGTGATGCACTGGAGAGTGAAACCACTAGAAACCTCTCCCAGAGAAATTCACCCACCAATCACCATAGACTTTACTTCTCTTTCTAAACCAAGTGTCTTTTATTGCTACCTTGTCAGTGCAGGTGCGACAGTGACACCCAGTGTTTGTGTTGTTCATTTGTTACCAACACCCATTCCCAGGTAAGTGGAAAAAGGTGCAATATATTCATTTTTGCCCCCCCCCCCCATTAAAGACATGGACATCCTCCTATTTAATAGCCATAAGAACATTGAAGGGAGCATCAGGTCAGTTTATAGCCGAACAAAAAGGAGTGATACAAACAAATCTAGCCCATTGGCCCTCTCATCCCTCAAACCAGCTGTATATGCAAAACAGAAGCACTCCCTGCTCCAGGAGTGGCTGAATGAGTGTGTCTGATTGTGTATGTGTGCGCACAAGTGTTTTGTTTTTTATTTTATTTTCAGACCAAGAAGAAAAAAAATAATAATAATTTGAACAATAAAATGTGTAATGACCAGTGTTTTTTTCTACATTCTGTATTAAAGTGCATTCAAGTATTTACACTTGGCCTTATGTATATATTATGTTCATTCCGCTGAAGGTGTATAGTACTTTTAGGTGACTTGAATGTAAATAAATTATATATATTGCTAATAAGTCTGTATGGTTTGATTACAAGGAGTATAACTGGTTATTGCTTCAAATTTAGTGTTTACTCATTGTCATGCAGGATGTGACTGTGTAAAAATGCAACAGTGAAAATGATCCATGATTGCAGTAGCAGACAAATATTGACTCTCTAGGATTAGATTTCTGGGTTTTCATCTATTAAGATGAAGCACAGTTGCTGATGAAGCTGGTTGATAAACATGTACAGGCTACGTCCAATACTTCAGCTGCTTATAACAACCAACCACATTTTCCTCTGCATTTATCTTGTGTTCCCATAGACAAGGAAGCCTGACAGACAACACAGGGATTGAGATAGGTGAACATTAGAGCTCTGATAGTCCATATAAAAAGTAGATAAACAAAAAGGATTAGTAGGTTTCAAGGGACACTAAACTAGGGAGTTAAATTTTAAAAATGGATTCAAGTACCTTAACTATTAACAAAAATGTAACTTAGTGTGGATCACTCAGCTGTAGATCTTCAAATCACCTCTGAAATGTGTCCTTTCAGACAGAAGGACAGAACACTGTCCTTGCTTCTGCAGGGTGGCTACCTTTGTTCCCATGGCCGCTGTGTGTGTTGTAAAGTAGCCACCACTCCTGTGATCGACTACAATCTCATGTTTAGTTTAACAATTTGTATGGAGATTGTAGTCCATCACAGGAGTGAGCTTGGAGCGGTGACTACTTTACAACACACACAGGGACCATGGGGAACAAAAGTAGCCACCCTCCAGTAGGAAGGACAGTGTCAGCACGTATTCAGAGATGATTAAGGATCTACAGCTAAGTGATACACAAATAAGATACATTTTTGTTAATTGGGGTCCTTGAATATATTTTTAAGATTTGACTCCTGAGTTTAATGTGTCACTTTAACTATGTAGTAGCATGCACAGACATCGTAATTCTAGTTTCACCTTTTTCCCCATTCTTAACTACATTGCCAGTGCAGCTGATCTCCTCCAGCCTCTTTTCACTTGCTCCCTGTCTAAATTAATGTACTTTAGCAGGAGTTGCTTCATCATTACTCAGGGCAGGCTTGCGGTTTGTAACAAAACATGTCTGCACATTGTGCATAGGCATGGTTTCATTTAGTTGCCACTGAAAGCATAGGTGACAATGCAGTGGGAGAAGCATTAAATTATTCGCTCAACTGTCTCATTTAGGATATTTTATATCCTAAATGGCAATACCTCCTACTCAAGTATACTCCATTAGATTAATCTCATAACACTGATCACCCAGCAGTTTATTGTAGTAACATAAAAAAGAGCAATTTTTGAACATTCAGATTTTTCATTCTCTGAGAGTAAACATTGCCTGCATAGGCTTAGGGTTACAGAGGTTTGTCTACCAGTGAAGGATCTATGTTGAGCAAAGAACTGTAATAAGAGGAATATGCTGGCTGCCATTGCTGCACTTCCTGTGGCATTGCTAGTTACAGATACCTTTGCTTCAAAAATCCTAATTCACTGAATTTAAATCAGTATAGTGATAAGAAATTGAATCTCATTTATTGCAAATCTCTTTAGTCTGTGACTCAAATGTACTATAGCTAAATACACAGTGAGGCAACCAGCTTTTTCACATTATTGGATAAATGTTGGCCCAGCATCGTTTGAAATGCTTTATTGCAAAACTGGAGTTAGAAATGCAATGGTGGAATATCCTAACCGCAGGCTCTTACAGTTTCTTCTGCTGACAGATTCAAATTCAGGCACCCCCAGCTTGCACTTAACCACTTCAAGACCAGGTGTTTAGACCCCCTTCCTGGCCAGGCCATTTTTCAGTATTCAGCGCTGCGATACTTTGACTGACGTTTATTCCGTCATGCAACGCTGTACTGAAATGAATTTTATACCATTTTTTGGGGACAGATAGAGCTTTATTTTGGTGGTATTTAATCACCACTGGGGGGTTTTATTTTTTATTATAATTAGGAAAAATTACAGAAAATTTTGAAAAAAAAAAGGGTTTTTTACATTATGTTAGGAAACATTTATTATTAACACTAGTTTGTGTCCTCCCGTTACCCCAAGGAGAACTATGGGGAAAGACACTGACCCTATAGTTCTCCTTTAAGGAGGTCCTAGTCTAATTCAGTTTCCGATTTACTTGCACCTACAGGCACACAGCCTGCCAGAGGGACCAGACCTCTAGGCCTGGGTTACAGCCCAGAAGCCTCCAATCATACATACAGCCTACTTGCAAGAGAAGGATCATAGACAAAGACCTTTCCAGAACTGGGCTCATTCTATTGTTAAAGCTTGGTCCAGCCCCAGATAAGTCGGGTATGGGCCAGCTAACAAGCAAGTTTCTCCATGTCACACCCCTGAAACAGTGTTCTGGAGCTTCCATAACACATTGGAGTCAATTTATTAAAATCTATCTATAGAAAAATTGCTGTTACATTTGAGTCTCAGTTAATCAGAAATCAGGCAAAACATGATCTGCATGTAGTTTATCCTCCATGGATAAAATCTATTGAGGAACATTCTACTAAAGAACAGAGTGAATTAGGAAAAGAAAATAATGTAATATGGCCACTAGATAGAGCTGAGGATCATTGGAAATAAATACATGTTAGTATTGGGATATAATATCACAATTAAAGAGAACACTAGCAGCAATGAGCATATCAATGTAACTATTGCTATCCATGGTTACATTTTATATGTTCATTCCATGTCATTATTAACATGTATTTATTTGTATGCATTTCCTATGGTTCTCAGCTTCATCTAGTGGCCATAATGTGGTATATTTCCCCCATTCACTGTTCTTTAAAATTAAACCTATTAAAAGAGCAACCAGAAGAGAAAACAAAAACCACTAAAAACAATTGTCAAACCATGTTCTCTGGCCCGTTTTAAGGCTAATTTGCAAATTATAAATATATCAGGGGTAGATGGCCACTGACAGAGGATATGTACCAATGCAAAAATTTGTTAAAATTGCATTTAGCGCAGAGCGGGTGTAGTCCCCTGAATGTTATATTGTTTATAAATAATGGCTGGGGATTTGTCATTTACGGCTTCTGTTTGCAAATGAGCAAGCCGGGGCCCTCTAGTCCCCCCCGCCCCCAGTCAGTTATGATGTCCCATCTGTCCCTACATGTCAACCAACTGGACGTGGATGCTGGCTGATGTCACTGACCAAATATAATCATGACCATATTTGATCAATAACATCACCCAGGATCCTCTAGCCATTCAGATTACAAGTACCTGCCAGGCAGGGAACTTTCATTTTGTGGCAGTAGTGCTAGCACCACAAATTGGTTCGGGCGGATGAACTGGCTGAATATGGCGAGTTTGTGACAGGCTAGGTTCAATTTGAACTCATGTTCCACCCAAACCCAAATATACCTACTTCTGAGTCTTAAAATGAGTTATAACCATGGGTGTAATGATAACTATTCAGTTGTAAATATTATACCCACACAAGCTTTATTTCAAAAATATTTATTTTGTTTACAATATTCCATATAAATAGAAAATGTATAATGTTACTAATATTAGAAATAGTAAATGTTCTGCATGATAAACATTCATATAATGCAGTTCCTTTAAGCAGTCTGTGCTCTGGATCAGCAACACAGCATGCACCAGCAGTGCACAAAGCCCTCCCTCTATACCTAAACAGTCTTAAGTTCTGGGGGTTTTTTAAGCTGCCCGTGGCTCTGCATCAGCAACACGGCATGCAACAGCAGTAATTAGGCCCGCCCCTTTACCAGAACCATCTTCAGATAGGTGGAAAGAAACATCACATTGGGGAGCCAATGTTTTCACTGTCTTCTGAAGCACACCAGCAAAGCTGCAAAATAGATATATTGTTACAGCAACATTGTCATATTGGAGGGGGATGTGCAAAGTGGAAAAAAAGAAAAGGACATGCTCACAAATTATATACAAAAAAGGTGCTAATAATAATAATAATGTTATATCTCTGGTCCAGCATAAACCTCCTCTAGTCCAATCTGCATGGTTGCAGGGACCCTGGTGCACAGTAAGGGCTCCTGTTCCCCCTTACTCCATGATGCCAAAACAGCGGCACACAGAGAGGGATCTTCTACAATTGTCCCTGCAATTGTCCCTGCCAAAACAGCGGCACACAGACAGGGATCTTCTACAATTCCCTGTGATGAATCAGCTAATAAATAAATTACAAGCCAAGTCCATCGAAGACTGTAACCCATCTCATCTCTTGGATCTCCAGTGGTGAGACTGCAATGCACCCTAGATCCTAACTCAGCTATTCTGTGTGGTCCTACTCTATTCACAGGATGCCTTGCTTGCGCTACACATGCACCAGGTGAAAGGAGATCCTCTTGTTTGGCTTCATTATAGCTGATGGGCAAGTACAGCTTGGAACTTTGGTAGGATAGTTTACCAATGCAGTCTATAAGCCACATTGGACTGCAATGGTAGGGCGGGGTCAGCTCCTGGGCTTTTATTCCCCAAGCGCTCCATGGGAGGGCTGGCAGCAGGCAATGTAAACACATTCAGAACAATGCTTCCGCACTGAGTTTACAACAGTAGTGAAAGGACGTCACAGCACTTTCTGAAAGAGTTGAGGCTCTAGGAGAACTAAACATCTCTGTCCAGCCTCTCCTTGCAACATTAGATCCAGCTATAGTAGAGCCAGCCAGCAGCAGAGTACTATTAGAATTGATCTGTTGCTGCAGAGCTGCGTGAGGGAGTGAATCAGGCCGCCTAAGTTCAGAACCAGCATCTCCATTAGGAAAAAAGAAAGGATAAAAAGGGAGCACCAAAAATGTTGAACATTCTGGGTGACCTTTGTCTCAAGCACAATATCATTTCAGAATTTTAGCTTACCATAAATACAATTAAAAAAAAAAAAATATATATCATACATTACTTTTGTTTTAAATGCAACACACCATAGTGCACAGCATGGTGCAGGTGCGTTACCTGCTACTGTAACAGTGAGTTATAGGGTGTCATTCAAAAAGAATGGCACCATAGAGGTACAGCGGTACACAGGTTTTACTGCACGTTAAACACAACACAAATTTATGAAAATTAAACTATTACATGTCCAGAGCCACAACTGAGGCCCCCTATAATTGCTATGTTGACCATTATTGGGTCTAGCTATAGGATCACCTTTTTTTCCCCACAGTATTCTGCGTGATTAAAAGGTGTGGACTAATTCATCACAAAACAGAGCCTCAAATCCATATTAATAATGCCAAATTATAAATGAAGTTTACTTACTGGGGGTGCAGCTTGTACAAAGTTCCATCTACACCTACAGTGATTTTCAAATGGTCAAGGCCCCGACTTCCTCTCATCTTTTCAACAACAGCGGCAATGCCAGCAGCACACAGTTGAGCTGCTCTCTTGGAGACTATAGTGCACACCTCCTTCACTATGACCGTATCATCGCATGTGCTGTTCAGACCAAGCTTCGTTAAAATGGATCGCACCTGCAGGAGCCCCAGACTATCACTGGAAGAAGATACAGTGTATAATTGGTGTATAATCTCTGGAAATACAGTGCAATATCAGCATGAATTTGATTTCCCTAACTTCACAGCTTAGAGGTTTAGTCAAGTTTGCAAGTCTGAAGTGGCCTTAGCTGTGGGAATGTGTGACCAATCGTCACGTACTGTCCAGTCACTTCCTTCCTTTTTCAGGTCCTGTCCACTCACCCAGCTCAGTATTTGAATATTCACAAAATGCGTCACAGAGGGAAAGCTCTTAGGAAAAGGACCAGAAAAGGTTATGACAAGGGGAGCATAAATGAACCAAAAAAGTCCTCCACTATAAAATGACAAAAGAGCATTCTTAAAACATAAAAGGTATCTGCAAATACAAAAAAAGGGAGGAGTTTGATCCTCGTTTGAGAAAAAGAAAGCCGAGCTATGCAAATCATTTTATTTTACCCCGTGGCCAAGTGTGCATTCAGAACCGCTGGTACACAGCCTAATAAGAGAAATTATAACCAGACAAATTATAACCAAAGGCCTCATCTCTTCATCTCTTGTGTACATGTATGCTAACATTGATGCCAGAATACCTGAGGAATTGTTTTGAGCAACATGGAAAACACATTTTAATATCAGAGCAGATTAATAGCCCTTTATTAACAACACACACAACTTTGGATATAGGACTGTGCCACCTAAATGGTTGCTAGTGGTGCAAGTTATGGAGGGGAATAGCATGGCCATGTCCAGAACCAAGCCCTGCTGACTGACGTCACTGGTTATCACGAGCAGGGCAGGGTGCCGGCCAGAGTGCTACAGGTTGCGTAACTCCTAGCAGCCTGGTACGCTCTGGCCCGGAAAGGTGAAGGCAGGTGTTCCCCATGTGACCCAATGAAATGCCACCTGATGCAACTGCCTCATTATAGGGAGAGCTCTGCATTTATACTCAAACTTGCCAAAAAACACCAGTCCATAAATAAAAAAATATGTTTGCAGATCAACACAGTCAAGAGTAGCTCAGTTTAATGCAACTAAATTTAGTAAAATGGAGAGAAAAAAAAAAGTCTCTTACCTTTCAATTTGAGATAAGTACTTTGTAGGAAAGAGGTCTCTGGTATTTAACTGTTCTGAGATTTTGCCACGGAATAAAATCCTATCCTTTGTGAGTTCAATTAGAACTTGGCGTACAATCTCTCCCAGGTACATTCCACTGATCATCTTCTCATACCTGGAGAAAATTAAAGGTGACACTTGTCACATTCATTGCAATGAAGCATGTTATAGAAGGCTATGGTTCTAAAAGGTATGCTATTAAAAAAAAAAAAAAAAAAAAAACTTTGGGGAATAAGAGGATTGAAACACTTTCTTTCTGCAACATTGTAATCAAGTTTTATATGACAAGAAAGAAAATTACTATTGGGAAGATAACAGTGTGGTAAAATCCCAGGCATGTTGTATTTATCTTCAATATTATTGTGGGGAAATCTATGAGCTGCAATGCCCAAACTGCCACCTTTTTTGTAAGGTCAACAATATTTCTCTCACACATAGTAAAGCTCCAGCCACTTTTTCCAGTATGGGAGTTCAAGTACTCAAGCAAAAAAAGAGGAGTTCAAGTATTTAAGCCAAACAAGCTCTTTGCTGGAGCACTGGAGGTAGGCAATCATCGTGCATCTCCTACTACATAGGACCCATTCTCAGGACAAGCAAAATATTGATAGATGACTGCACTGATGAAAATGTGTGTCTGTTCAGAAGTTGATCAATTATCTCTACCCTAATAAATAAATAAATCTTTTTGAAATTGCAAATGTTTAATCTGCCTAAATACTTCCATGCAGGTCTAAAAAGGTGCCCATACACTGTACGATTCTCGTACGAGAATCGCGGGAAACCCCGCAATACGATAAACCTACAGTGTATGGAAGGCGTGCAACCGTTTCTACTGTACGGTCGCAAATCTTCCGTCGAACAAGCAGGCTTGAAAACCCACAGAGAATCGTACGATTCTTGGCAGGTTAGTGGCCTACTTGTTCGACAACTGCCGAATGGGCCGGTGTGCTCACGCGCACACTGCCCGTTTGCAGTGATCGGAAGCCCGCCCCTCACTGCGGTCATCGGAAGCCCACCCCTTGATGATCGCAAGAACGATCTGCCTGTCCAAGATGGGCAGATCGTACGAGCTTTTAATAAGCTTACGACCATCGCAAGACAAGAGTCTTGCGATGGTCGTAAGGTGTATGGGCACCTTAATGAGTGGAACATTATTTAACTTGTTTTTAGTTTCTGTTCGTAAATGACACACTTTTGACATGTTTGCCGTGTGATTCTTCCACGTCAGTAATATACTTTCTTACAAAGTGCACCCACACATTATATATTGTTTTTTAGAGGACAGATAGACACACATATGTGATATAAATATGTAGCCCTAACGCCTCACTTAGGACAGTAGTATTATTTTTTTTTACAAAAACCAGCACAGCTAAAAAAAAAAAATGCAATAAATACATTCATTTATTTGTCCCTTATTTTTTTTACACTTTTCACAATTTTTTTTAAACGTAAAAATTGTATTTTAATGTATTCAATTATATCAAGCAGTCATTGTGAATTAATCTCACTATTACTGCTTGATAAATTAATAAATTTTTGGTTATTATCATGCTGCTTCAAACTTCAGAACAGCCGATAATAAGTTAGTGACACTGATCCTGCAGCAGTTCAGGATTCAGCTGTCACTAGTTTTCTGATTGTTACAACAACCATCAGAAAACTGAAACATTCTTCTTCTTTGCCTCTTAGGGGCGGAGCTAAGAGGACCGTCTCTTAGCTCCGCCCCCTGGCCGCCAAGACGAGGAAGAGGGCCATGGGCCTGAAGGACAGGGAAGGTAAGTTTGGAGTGGGCGCTGGGGGAGGGAGGGAGAGAGAGAGAGAGAGAGAGAGAGAGAGAGAGAGAGAGAGCGAGAGAGAGAGAGAGAGAGAGAGAGAGGC